GCAATGGATGATGTTGTTGCTTGTTTACTACTATTCATTGTTGTGATACTATACATGAAGTCCTCCACCCTAGAACGTTTCCGTCGTTCCGGCTTTGGGGTGTGACAGTACACAATGAGTATTTAGGGCATATTCGGCTGATGAGAAAACCCAAATATTAAGGGTTTGGGTCCTATTTAAACAACCTTAACTCACATAAACCCTTCAACCTTTAGCCTCCATCATCCTAAACGACCCCTTGTAAATCCTAATATTTATTTGAGTGTTTGAGCTATTTGACTGTTTTGTGTTCATCTTTGAAGAAGAAGATCATTTGAGTGCACTTGGGAATCTTCGAGCCTTGTGGATCTGTATATTTCATCTCCTTAGCAACCTCCAGAAGGTATAAAGTTCTGAACATGATAAATACTTCACTAGATCATGTTAGTTCTAAGGTTCTTATGCACTTTGGTCCCATAATCTTGGTTTAGTTGAGTATGAGCTACTCCATACCTTATGAATAGCCTTTTCAGATGTTTTGAAGTGCATGGAGTCACAAAAATGTGATCTTGATCCTTTCCTTTCATCCACGCATGAGTATTGGGGCTTAGAATCTTGTGATAAGTTAGGGTTTTTAGATTTGGACATTTTCTAGTCATGTAAAGTCATAACGTTGGAAACTTTATGATTAAGGAGGTTATTTGGGGTTAGATCTGAGATTTGAATGTAAGGACTTAAGGGAATACGCACTTACTAAGGATATTGGGGTCTGACTGTGTACGTAGGGCGTACCATAGGAGTACGCAACGCGTACTAGATTGAAGCCCTGTAATTTGGACAGGAACTTTCTACATCATGCGTAGAGATGCAGTAGGTAGGGCGTACTCAGCATGACTTGGAAAATTGACTTTTGACTTTCGGCCATTGACCGTTGAATTTCACCAAGTTTGACTTTAGGTCATTTAGGGTAAATTAAATAGTATATTTAGATTGGGTCCTTGTTTATTTTATATGTGACCTGTAGATACAGTATTTGGAGCAGTGATCAGTTCAGCTATCTTTCAGACTGTGAGCTGAGTTTTCCTCACTGTACTTATGGGTCGAAGGCACCAATATCGGCCCACTAGTTTATGTATCCTAGTATATAGGATGTTGCTATGATGTAGTGATCTGTTAGATCTGCATGATTATCTGTTTACTATTATATGTTTTATCTGTTGCATATGTCGACATAGTGTCGTTGAGTTGAGGTAATATTGCTTAATGCGGAAGCCAATAAACCTGGGAGCAATCGAGACAAAAGTTGTGGATCGAGAGGGAAATCCAGACTTATGATGTGGGCTCGGGACCAATCCAGACATAAGTTGTGGGCCTGGAGGGCAATCCAGACTTATGTTGTGTGCTCGGGAGCAATCCGTACATGAGTTGTGGGCCGAGAGGGCAATCCAGACTCATGTTGTGGGCTCAGGGGTAATCCAATATGATGGTTGTGGGCCCAGATGCATGATGTTATATGTTTGTGTGGTGATACCTTGGGGGAACTCACTAAGCTTTGGCTTACGGTTTGAATTTATGGTTTCAGGTACTTCAGAGGACAGGGGTAAGGCGAAGGCCTGATCGTGCACATCATCCTGGACTTTTATATGATTTATGATTTTGGGATACTCTGATACATGATTGTGACTCTTAGAAACTTTGTTTTTGTAAAACATATAGATTTGAAATGGTTTTGAAAAACAAAATTTTTTCCTTAACTTTTGTGATGTTACAATTTTGGCAACATCAATTTTATGTTGCATTTGATACAACCAGATGTACTTGGTAAAATAATTGACAAATATGACATAGTAACTAAATTTGTATATGGATTGATGAACAGGACCATACATCTGAATAAATAAGTTAAAGTGGTTTGGTTGCAACAAAAGAATTTGGACCAAAGGGAAATTTATGACTTTTATTAATTGAAGTGATGGATTTGAAAAGTTGAAGAGATGGATGACCAAGTAGTTGATGAAGGTTAAGCGATGATTTCTTGATAGTATCATGGACGTAGAGCTTTGAAGGTAAGTGTGTATGGTAGACCCCTTCAGTTTTTTCGCCTCGCATTAGACGCGCCCCCGTGCACAGATCCTTCACAAAGAAATGGGATGGAAAGAATTCCACCGAAACTTGGTTAGTATCACATAATTGAGAGATAGAAACAAGATTTATGTGTAGTCGTGACACATGTAAGACATTGTACAGAAGCAATTTTTTGTCAATTTTGCAACATCCCATGACACCTCACAAGCGATTGTCGCAAGCTCACAAGGGATTGCCACAAGCTAACAATCAGGAGGCAGAATAGGAAAATGTATAGAAATATATAACCATGATTGACTAATTTTTTAACACAATAACTAACCTAATTTTTAAATATCATATTTACTCTTCATAAGTTTTCAAAATATCATATTTGCCCATATTCTTATTTTTAACATTTTTAAATATTTTGCAATCATTTTAAATCTTTTTTTTTATCAGTTGACCGATATACCCCTTTAATGTCTTTTTATGAATCTCCTTACCAGTTTCACGATTCAAAAGCTTAAAACAAGTGGACATGGCTATTGTGAATGATATAAAATCTGATTCACACTCATCATCTTAATTTTCATCTTTTTAAACAACTCCAATGATTTCTCATCGAATACATGGACTTCTAAACGAAATATACCACATTTTGCATACATCCCAAAAAAAACAAAAAAAAACAAAAAAAACAAAAAAAACAAAAAAAAAAACTGGTATAACAGCATCCGCCACAAAACCCATTTTTTACCAAATGCACATGCATCATTTTACCAATGTTAGCAAACCGAGATCTACTACAATCCTTTAAAACTTGTGTTACTATCAGGTTTCATGAGTGTGAAATCATGAGCTTTTCCAATACTTGAAAAGCTTAATCGAACATGAAATTCTTTGTGTAATTTAAAAATAAACTAATCCTAAAGTGATGTATGAGCCTGGCATTCTCAATGGATTGAAAAACCAACCTTGCAGCTAGGAAGAAATGACTAACGAGATTTTTACATAAGTCGCAATGAGCAAAAAAAATTCGGATGTTATACAAATACACAAACATGTAATTCTAGATCAATTGGTCTTGTCATAGACATTCCATTGAATAGTTTACTGAGCATGTATATCCAACATGCCATATTTTGTTGAGGATTCTTCGAATTTGGCGCCCAAAACAATAACTTTTAGCAAATTATAACAGATTGACGAATAACAATGAGACATTATATATCCACATGAGTGTTCTTCTAGATACGATGAGACATTATACATTGTAAAATGGTAATCTAAGTTGTAAATTTTGATGTCAATCGGATTATATCAACTCCAAATCCAATATTGGTTGTTTAAGTTTTGAGGAAAAAATCATACCAACATAAATTGTTTAACAAGATAAGATGCTAGAAATATTTGTGATGACGAGTGCACAAATTTTGATGGGAGATTGTTTGATAAGATGAGATATACCTACCAATTAGGATGCTAGTTAGAAGATGAATAACCAAAAGGGCTTCTAGCCCAACAGTAGCATGTCGTGTCCTCTCTCCTTGAGGTCGAGGGTTCAAGTCCTGTTGTGGACTTGAACAGTGGTAATAATGTCAATTTATGATTTTATCTAATATAAGATTGATGTAGATGGAACCATTTTCATAATGTGTGTATGGATGTGGAGATTTGCATAAGAGGTCATAATTGCATAAATCTAATTATTACACAACAAGGAAACAATACAAATAAAGGGGTACCCAATCCATAATGATATTGATTTTGATGATACCCTTTTTAAATTGCATGATGATTCGATGCTAGAAAACTTTTTCAAGCAGGAAAATGCCAACTTTTACCCATTGAAAATCGAATCTTGATTTTTTCGGTTTATCGCATGTATCACCCTCTTTATCATAAATAATTGTGTAACTTGCGCGACTTATGTTCCTAAAATAGCAGAATTTATCATCACTATAACTATAGTTTTGTTGACTATTCCCCATACCATTAGCCATTACATTATTCCTCAAAATCATCGAACCTTGACCACTTTGTAAGTTTTCAAGAACACTTGATGAAGTTTTAGAACCGAAATTATCAATCTTTTTCTCATTGAAACCCAAAGTAACATTCTCTACCTCCTCATCGGTTCCATCTTCATTGTCCACTGCATCTGTGTATAAATAAAAATAAAAATATTTTAAAGATTTAGTGTTATGAACAGAAGATGCAACCTTGGAATCCACACTGTCGTTAAACTCAATTGTTGGTTCACAGTTTGTGCACCCCCCTCATGCCCCATCACCATGATGTTACTCAAATTGAAATCCTGAGTTGACTCGGTTACTACTTTCCCAAATGACGTTTCTACCCATCCGGTTGACTTTATTGACCTCTGGACACTAGTAACGAATGTCCCAACAAAACCCGTGAAATTGGAATTGACAGAATTATGAAGTGGAGAGATGGTTTGATTCAAAAGCATCCCTTTTGTCTTTTCACTCTTTGCATCCAACCATACATGTAAATTTGCATCAATTAACCAAACATTGAAAGCATTTGTAACACTGAATGCAATATCATGGAGTTTTCCATTTAAAAGCGATCCAAGAAGCGGAGTGATTTCAATATCATATGAAGGGAGATCAAATGCTCGAATCCCACTAATGGGTCTCCATAAGAACGGATTAATAGCTCCTGTGGAAACTATAGTAAAAGGCCAAACTGCACCTACTATTTTTCCATCTAAACTTACAACAACCTCCCTAAAAGGTCCATTACCAGGGTACCCAGTTAAATTATTAGCAGAAAGATAGTCATTAGGGAAGTTTTTAGGCCACAACTGATCGGCTTCATCAACTGAAACATACACTTCAAGAACAACCCTATATACATTTGGGGGAATCGCAAATTGTTTTGTCTTTACATCATTTGAATAATAGATTTTGAGCCATAATGCATCGTTCAATGGTGGTAAGTTTTGTGAAATGGGTATAATCAAATCAGCCCATTCCTTAAACACATGATCTGAATTAACATGTAGAGTTGTCGTTTTCGTGTTGGTTTTGGTTTTCTTCTCAGGGGGATAATAATGAATACTAACATTCACATGGTATACACCATTTGTATGATTATCAACCTTATTTCCCAAATAAACAGCGAGGGTTTGTGTTTTATTGGACATAAGCAATGAATAATACCTAGTAATGTCCTTCTTCACAGTCCAAACAATCCCTCTGGCTCTAGGTTGAGCTGTGTAGCTTCTGAACAGCTCAGCACCGCTTAGCCAAATCCCAATAATCCTACTGAGTTGACGACCTTTACATGTAGCATTCCACTCGAGAACAATTTTAGTAAAATCGGTTGATGAGCAATTTGAGGGTCGGGTATATTGGACGGAAGCTGGTGGGCTGCCATAACTGTTTCCGAAATCATGTTGTAGAAGAAGAGTTGAGCAGGCTTTTGTGTTTGGGAGTTGGATTGGTTTCATTACTTCAGAGAAAGTGGAGGGTGGGAAGTCGTTAGTGGTGGTGGGTTCGGAGGTGAGGTGTTGCCCGAAAATTACTGCTTCAGGAACCGGAATGGCGGCGGAGATTATGGAGAAAGAAAGGAGGAGGAGGAGGAAGAGGAGGACGAAAGGAAGGAATTTGGAATCCATGAGAATGGTGATGATGGTGGTTGAGAAAGTGTGATTCTTGTGATGATCGGTAGGGGAGAAAAAATATGTTAAGGTAGGAGTGTCGTTGAGACATGAGATTTTAGAGGGAAAATTATAAAATAAATAAAGAAATGAATATATACATTAAAGTCTTGTAAAAAAAATCAAGTTTTAAATTTTTTTTTTTCAAATCGTGAATTAGGACTTTACTTGTATGGGCAAATTGTGTTGTAATTAGTCGAAGGGTTTCATATCTTCGAATGTACTGAGTCTTCGTATCTTATGTAATCTATTTTACTAGGGAATTGTATTCGAAGCTTAACGCATAGTCCTTAGTATATTTTTTGTACGCTTTC